GGTCTTGACGTTTTTGGTCTGGCCGCCAGATGACGCCAAAATTGACATATATTTGCGCCACCTGGTGGAAAGTTCTAGAAGCTAGACGAAAATGCGGTTCTAACATGTTGTAGCCACGTCAATTCTGCATCGACTGACACTAGAAACTTGAAGATCAATTCAGTCGTTTTGAGTCTAGAAGCTTCTAAAGAGGCCAATGTTTGGCTATACACCCCGTAAGTAGTCTTTAGGCATACGAGTCAATGCAGAGGTCAACTTAACGGTCTCTCCTGCCTAAACTAAGAAAGATACAGAAACCCGGATACCAGCATTCGATAGTCCTTAAATGTATCTACAACACATAGGAAATTCAAGGTCTTGACGTTTTTAGTCTGGCCGCCAGATGGCGCCAAATTTGACATGTATTTGCGCCACCTGGTGGGCAGTTGTAGAAGTTCGACGAAAATGCGGTTCTAACATGTTGTAGCCACATCAATCCTGCATCGAATGACACTAGAAACTTGAAGATCAATTCAGTCGTTTTGAGTCTAGAAGCTTCTAAAGAGGCCAATGTTTGGCTATACACCCCGTAAGTGGTCTTTAGGCATACGAGTCAATGCAGAGGTCAACTTAACGGTCTCTCCTGCCTAAACTAAGAAAGATACAGAAACCCGGTTACCACCATTCGATAGTCCTTGAATGTATCTACAACACATAGGAAATTCAAGGTCTTGACGTTTTTGGTCTGGCCGCCAGATGACACCAAATTTGACATACATTTGCGCCACCTGGTGGGCAGTTGTAGAAGTTCGACGAAAATGCGGTTCTAACATGTTGTAGCCACATCAATCCTGCATCGAATGACACTAGAAACTTGAAGATCAATTCGGTCGTTTTGAGTCTAGAAGCTTCTAAAGAGGCCAATGTTTGGCTATACACCCCGTAAGTGGTCTTTAGGCATACGAGTCAATTCAGAGGTCAACTTAACGGTCTCTCCTGCCTAAACTAAGAAAGATACGGAAACTCGGTTACCACCATTCGATAGTCCTTGAATGTATCTACAACACATAGGAAATTCAAGGTCTTGACGTTTTTGGTCTGGCCGCCAGATGACACTAAATTTGACATATATTTGCGCCACCTGGTGGGCAGTTGTAGAAGCTCGACGAAAATGCGGTTCTAGTATTTTGTAGCCACATCCATTCTGCACCGACTGACACTAGAAACTTGAAGATCGGTGTAGTCGTATTGAATGTAGAAGCTTCTAAAGAGACCTATGTTTGTCTATGCACCCCTTAAGTGTTCTTTAGGCATGGGAGTCAATTCAGAGGTCAACTTAACGGTCTCTCTTGCCTATACTAAGAAAGATACAGAAATCCGATTACCGCCATTCGATAGTCCTTGAATGTATCTATCACATATAGGAAATTCAGGGTCTTGACGTTTATGGTCTGGCCGCCAGATGGCGCCAAATTTGACATATATTTGCGCCACCTGGTGGGCAGTTGTAGAAATTCGACGAAAATGCGGTTCTAACATGTTGTAGCCACGTCAATTCTGCATCGACTGACACTAGAAACGTGAAGATCAATTCAGTCGTTTTGAGTCTAGAAGCTTCAAAAGAGACCATTGTTTGGCTATACACCCCGTAAGTGGTCTTTAGGCATACGAGTCAATGCAGAGGTCAATTTAACGGTCTCTCCTGCCTAAACTAAGAAAGATACAGAAACCCGGATACCAGCATTCGATAGTCCTTGAATGTATCTACAACACATAGGAAATTGAAGGTCTTGACGTTTTTGGTCTGGCCGCCAGATGGCGCCAAATTTGACATATATTTGCGCCACCTGGTGGGCAGAACATCCAGAACGGATGTCTCTTGTGGGGAGCTCGAGTCGTCATTCCAGTCAAGTTGCGGGAGAGGGTGCTACAGATGTTGCACGACGGTCATATGGGAGAGAGCCATACCAAGGGGTTTGCCAGAATGTACGTGTGGTGGCCAAACCTAGATTTTGACATAACCCAGATGGTTAAGGCGTGTGTGACCTGTCAACAATACCGCCACCAAGCGCCCGTCACGCCACTGAGTCCGTGGTCCCTCCCGTCCCGGCCATATGAGCGGGTGCACATTGACTACTGTGGCCCAGTGGAGGGGAAAATGCTGCTCATTGTAGTGGATGCACATACCAAGTGGATTGACGTACATGTAACAACTAGGGCAACAACCGAGGTTACTATGGAGGAGCTGCGGAAAACGTTTGCATACTGGGGAATTCCCAAGTTCTTGGTATCAGACAATGCTCAGTGTTTCGTGGCACCAGCGTTCCAGTCATTCTGTACTCAGAATGGTATCACACACCTGCGCACTGCGCCGTTGTCTCCAAAAAGCAACGGTCTGGCTGAGCGGGCAGTGCAGACGGTAAAGCAGGGTCTGAGGAAACAGGGGAATGGAACGTTGCACACCAAGCTGGCAAGGGTGCTGTTCACCTACCGTTCATCTCCCCACAGCACTACCGGAGTGACGCCAGCAGAGCTAATGACCGGGCGGCGCATGAGAACTCGTCTCGACTGTATGCTTCCCAGTCTGCAGGATCGTGTTGTCAGCTCGCAGTGGAAAATGAAGGAGCGGTATGATAGACAGGCACAGCGGCGCACCATACTACCAGGAATGTCTGTCCTCGTTTCACAGGTGTCGGGACTGGCCGGCGTCGGCAGGACAACACGCTGGCTACCCGGACACTGCATCAACATCTCGGGACTCAAGCTCACGGTCCGGCTGGACGACGGACGAGTCCTCCAGCGCCATCTGGACCAGGTGGTCCCGAGAGCGGTCGCCGGGAACCAGGCCGTCCGACAGCCGACGGACTGGACGGCGGCGCCGCGGCCTCCTCAAACGCCGCCGACGTCGCTGCCGACAACTCCAACGTCGCAGGCGACGCCTTCACCGCCGACGCCCTCAACGCCGACGCCTTCACCGCCGACTCCCACGCCGCTTCCGCCACCGCCAGCGGAATGTCCGGAACGGGAGAGGCCTACGTCTCCCTCCCCAGTGGGGCGGCCGGCTCGTGGGTTGGAGGGACGGGGTGAGCTCAACTCACGATTGAAGTGTGACGTCCAATTGTCGCGAGGCGAGAGTGTTGAGTGTCGCGAGCCTGTGTCAGCGCCGCAGGTACCGCGCTATAACCTGAGACCGAGAAAATAGTTGTTAACTAGGGGGGGAGGAATGTGGTAGATTGTCACACAGCCTCTTGGCTGGCGTGCCTGGGTGCGCCACTGGCCGCCCTATCCGTCGTCCCTGAGAGCGGGCTTGCGCTCGCTTGACCTATAGCCGGGGGCGCTCAGCTGTGCGGTGTGGGTTGAGTCGGGTCAGCTGATCGAGTGGGAATACAGTTCTGACCGGTGATCGGAGGAGTGTGGTGCTGTGGTGCCGAGCTTAGTTCACGCTATAACGTGGGCAAGATACGAGCGTATAGATGACGTACGATCAATTTCCGGCCACCCTGCGGATGTACCCGCATGGAACGTTCGCTACAATCACTTGGTTAAACTCGCATGCCATTAAGGCGAACGTAAACAAAACGCGATTTGCCGTCTTTTGGCAGCTGCAAAATGTATGCTCACTTCCGGATATGCGAGCGACTCGATGCAACGTAGCTTTGAAACCGCAAGGGGAGGTGAGAAACCTGGGCGTCTTCTTCGACAGTGCCCCGACCTGGGAATCGTGTACGAGCTGAGCTGACAGTGCACTGGCGTGCTTGTCGGCGCCATCTCACTGTCGCCATTACCTCCCCGAATGCGCTATCAAGGTATTGGTGACAGCACTTGCACTTTCGAGAATAAAGTACCTACTGTCTCACCGCATACGACAGTGGCTCGCAACAAAATTTCAACAGGCTCCAAAATAGTTACCTTGGGCGAAGGGTGATTTTTGGCAGGCGTAAATTTGATCGTTTCCGATATTCGTGGGCAGTTGCGCTGGATAACGCCCCAACAGATTATGCGGGCTCAGATAATGGATGTGATGCTAAGGGTGCTGCGGCAAGGCGAGTCAGACCGGGGGCGGATTTAGACTTTGGGGGGGGGGGGGGGGCAACTGATTTACGAAAGTTTGCTTTGTCCGATTAGGTTACGCTGAGTAACGAAGCGATGTGATAAAATTTTGTTGAGCGGGAGAGACTGGCTGGTAGAGGAGCTGATATACGTAATTGACACACATATGATATGCCTTGGGAGGGGGAGAAATGCTTTATTTTGGGGGGTCATGACCCAGAACCCCCCAGGATCTGGTCAAAAACCAAAATCGTGCGGTGTCGTGACATCCGCCAGAGGAACACCCGACAAGGCGACCTCCTCCGGCTGCCGAGGACAGAGGCCGGGAGGCACCGCTTTGTGTGCTGTGCACCAGACCTGTATAATGTAACTCGCTGCCGGCGGGTGTCACTGAGCTATCTCGCGGCCCCTTCGCTCGCGCTATTAGGACCATATTGACAACAGGCGTATGAGCCTGTCCGTCAGTGTGGGACGTATGCCAGGGTGCCTGTAGGACGTGTGCCGGAGTACCATGCGCGAGCGGTAAGTGCGCGTGCCTGCAGTCACCGAATTGTTTGACTGCAGTGATTTGCTATGCATGCTTTTACTACTTATCAAATGACTTGGGGCAGTAATAGCCACGATTAAGTGTGGATTGACATGCAGTTGTGATACATGCATACAAATATACGGTGGCCGTTTCCGCCGACCTGGTACCGTGGTTGTGTGATTAGTGCTGTGAGCTGCAATGATCTGCTGATGGATCTCTTAATACACGACTGTGATGACCGATTTTGAATCAGCGCAGTCGATGCAGACGAAGCGGACGACGGCGGCTTCGTCAGGCGTTCGGCAGGCGTTCCCCACTGCAGGCGTTCGGCTACATCTAGCGGCAACGCACACTAACGTTTCACTCTAGTAATTCGGTTCAACTCGGTGTTTCGATGATGAGAACTGCCTGTGAAACCAATGACGTCACCATAAACAGTTAACGCATAACAAACTGGAGCTTTATTGGCACAACGCTTCAATGCCACATCAGCGCGAAACTGGGCGCACGATAACTTACCCCCCCCCCAAAAAAAACAGAGACATGTGAACGTAACTGCGGCGTTTACGCGAACTGTCTGTGCGACGTTTATGAGAACTGTCTGTGAAACCAATGACGTCACCATAAACAGTTAACGCATAACAAACTGGAGCCTTATTGGCACGACGCTTCAATGCCACATCAGCGCGAAACTGGGCGCACGATAACTTACTCCCCCCCCAAAAAAAAAACAGAAACATGTGAACGTAACTGCGACGTTTACGCGAACTGCGCGACGTGTTTATGTGGACGCTTTCCTTTTGCTGGCCACGATCAAGTTGTAGACGTGATACTTTACATCCCGCCACGTCCTTTCCTTGAGGTGCGGCTCCTCACTGATCGCTTTTAAGCATTCAGCCTGGCCCGGCACCTTAAGATGTAGGATGTATTTCGCGCAGCTCCTCTTTACAGCCGCCTTCTCCAGCGCGCTCCACATTCTCCTCTTCCGCGCCGTCCCACGCCTGGTTGAGACTGGCGGCAGGTCAGGCGGTGCCCGCCCGTCGCCGAACGTCTGTCTCTTTCTTGAAGGCCCAGGCGGCACGTCAGCTGGTGTTCGCCCGTCGCCAGACGCCTGTCTGTTCCTTGAAGGCCCAGGAAGTCCTTCGAGCTCTTCGGAATCGCTATTGCGATCTGTGACGTCAGAATCACCGCTTTCCACTGAGTCGGTCGAAGCGCCATCGTTGCCCTCGTCTGAAAGCGCCACATCTAGTTCGTCCAGGTTTTTGCCCTGCATACGTTGCAGTTTTCCACTCTCCATCAGTAGAAGCATCTTGCTGAGCTTTGCTACCTGCGTGGTAGCGTCAGGTAGTCTGTAGTATTCTCGGTGCACGCGTATGTCATGCCCCATAAAGGCAGCGAGTTGGTCGATTTCATTTTCTCGCAGGTTGAGCAGCTGTGCCATTGTGGCGACGTGCTTGCGGAGAGCTCCGGAAGTCAGTGTCTTGGGGCACTGGGCGCCACAAGCCTGCACGTATTTTCTGAGGCTGTCGCAGCCTCTCAGTGGGCGCATGCTGGGGCCACTGGCAAAAACGTAAGGCCCAGTTACTCCCAGCTCTTGACGCTTCGAGAGCAGAAGTTCTAGAGCCTCCACCATTTCTCTCGTCAGTAGGATCGGGACACCCCTACGACGCTTACCCCGAACCATGACCCTCTTGAGGCTAGATCCGAGATGCCGTTCTAGTGGACTCAGGCAGTCCGCCAGACCTGGTGGGACGTTTTCCACAGAGCTCATACTGTGCTCCCAATCATCGATGGTCATCCGCCCCGCTTCGCCCTGCCGCCTCCTGTTGAAGAGGATGACTCTCGCCAGAAGTACCTCAGCTAGTCCTTTGTACGTTGCCTCGCTCCCGTTTTCTTTCAAGTTCTTCTGCGCGGCGTCCATTTCAGTTACGAGGCAGTTTTGTAGTTTTTTTATGTCTTCCGCTATGGGGATCAGACACGGCTTGTTCCACGCCCCATCTTTCAGGGTCCACAGGGCGGGTCTGGACACCCTGTCCGTCCACTCCAAGTGATGCAGTCGTATGAACTGTTCCAACGACTCCGGGTTGTCTCCCCTTTCCAGCGCCGTTGCCAGAGTGATCTCTGCACATTTTTTCACGGAATGACCCAGCTTCAGGGCAAGAGACGGTTTTGCCACACTGCGGTCGCCGTAGCAGCAAACTTCGCGTACAGCCTCCGTGATCACCCCGAACTGCGCCGGGCAAAAGAAGTCCCGGAGAGGGACATCCTGGGTTTTCTTCAGGACAATAAGAAGTCTCCCAAGTTCGCGCATCTTCTGACTTATGTGTCTCTGCTGGTGGAGTTCCTGACCCAGCCGCATCAGCAGCTTCTCACCGAACGCTCGTATCGTCGGATCGGACCGGCACAACAACGTTACCTCATCCGTCCTCATCGTGTTGAAGACCTTCGTCAAGCGATGGGACTCTCCGGGTGGAGTAGGCAACTGATCCAATGCACTGGCTTGGATGTTTCTCACTGAAACATCTACGCCGCGCGTCGCAGCACAAGCGCGCTTGTGGCGCCATAGGGTTTTCCGATTGTAAAAACCTTTGCAGAGATCGCAAGGGAGAAAGTCATGCGCAGACCGACGCTTCCCGCGTGTGGTCCTGTTACAAGGGATGATGTGTCCTTTTTTCCTGCCGCATCGTACGGCCACGTTGTGCGAATAGTTACCCTCTTGTTTCAGTGCTTTGAATGCCGCTCTGCGTTCACTGGAGCCTTTCTCCTTTGAGAGTATCTCTTGCACCTTGAGTTCCTTTTTGTGACGCGTTTGTAGGTGCCGGGCGAATTTGGCTTGCGGCACGTCGCAGTAGGGACATATATTACGTCTATCCCACCGCCTTCGCGTAGTGTTGCTGGATGATGCGACTGAAGGTTCAAGACCAGGATAGTGCGCTGCATTCAGGTTCGAGCTGGTTGACGGTGGAACGACATCCGACAGAACCGAAAGGGAATCTGATCCGCGCATGGGAGAGGTCTCAGCCAGCAATGACTCTGATCCTGACGACTCTGATGGAGAGTACGGTGAATCGGCAGGATCGTCGCACGCAGAGCCTTCTTCATCCGAACTCAGCTCCGGTCCACCTCCTCCGAATGTCGTACTCCTCACCTGTGAAAGATCGAAGATGGTACTTAGCTGCTGGGAAAGGTTTGTTTCGGGATTTATTTTCTCACCAAACCCTGTTAGGCAAAGATATTCCTGGGCGCATTCAACTGTAAACACGAACATTGCAATCATGTTTGGACAAAAATATCGGTGCAAGTGTTTCACCTGACCAAGGGCGGATCTAGGGGGTCGTTTTGGGGGGGGTCACCAGTCGGCCGACATACCAGGTCTGGTGAATGAATTCTGACGACCGGGGGGGGGGGGGGGTAGGGAGCGAGTATGTCGAGATCAAAAAATGACATTTGATCTTCGTCGTTTATAAGATGAAGTTTTATCGTAAGTCACTCGGCTCAGTAGTTTTAGTTAGTGAAACCCACCTATATAGGAGCGTCGCCACGGATTTTTTACTGGGGGGGGGGAGGCGGGTCGACCGACTTAAAAACCCAGAAGTAGATATAGTTACCTCACTTTTAGCCTAATGCATTAGTAAATAGTAGCATACAGTCACGATCTCTCTTATTGACCTGTGTATGAATCGGCGGCGCGAAGCGCCGCAAAAATTTGCAAAAAAAAAGTTGTCAAAACACAGCTCTAAAACACAAATATTACAACCTTTTTAGCATGCTAGTACAAGCCGGAGTTCCTTCACAGTACACATATGAATTCCGATTCAATTTGACACGGTTGGTGTTATTACAGTCACTGTTATTTCTCTCTTATTGATTGGTGTATAAATCGGCGGCGCGAAGCGCCGAGAAAATTTGCAAAAGAATGTGTCGAAACACAGCTCCAAAACACAAATTTTACCACCCTTTTAGCATTGCAGTACAAGCCGGAGTTCCTTTACAGCACACATATGAATTCTGATTCAATTTGACACGGTTGGTTTATGTAATTACAGTCAAGATTTCGTATTGACCTGTACGTATGTACATAAATCGGCGGCGCGAAGCGCCGCGAAAAATTTGCAAAAACATTTGTCAAAACACAGAGGGGGCCTCCTCTCTACAGAGGACCACCGATCTCTACTGCGGGCCTCCTCTTTTCACAGGGCCTCTTAACTACAGAAGCTACAGGGCCTCCTCTCTACAGAGGGCTTCCTCTCTACTGAGGGTCTCTCCCTTTAAGAGGGCCTCCTTTACAGAGGGCCTCCTCTCTTCAAAGAGCCAGAGGACCTCATCTCTGCAAAGGGCCTCCTCTCTTCAGAGGGCCTCTTCTCTACAGAGGGCCTCCTTTCTTCAGAGGGCCTCTTCTCTACAGCGGGTCTCCACTCTTCAGAGGGCCTTCTGCATTCAGGCGGTCTCCTTTCCACAGAGGGCCTCCTCTCTACACAGGGCCTCCTCTCTACATAGAGCCTTCTCTCTACAGCAGGTCTCCTCTCTACAGAGGGCCTCCTCTTTAAAGGGGTCTCCTCTCTACAGGGGGCCTCCTCTCTACTGAGGGCCTCCTTTCTACAGAGGACCTCCTCTACAGAGGGCCTCCTACCTACTGAGGAGTCAGAGGGGCCCTAGCGGTCAGACACAGACACTAGCGGTTATTCACTGGAGGCCCCAGGAAGTAAGAAGGGCCCTAGCTGTCAGGCTGGTCAGAGGGCCCTGAATGTCCTGACGTGATTTTTGGGATTCCCGTGAATTTCTTTCGCCTCAGACGTGATTTTGACCTGCCAGGGCCCAGGGGCACTAAAAATAAAACAAACAAAATAAAAAATGAAAATAGGACATCACCAAAATTAAGTGACCGAAATCCGTTGAGTTTTTAATTTTGCGTATAGGTAGGGGCACCACGAATTAAATTCATGACCATCCCCTTGGAGTTTTCCTGGATCATCCCCTGGTGCTCGCACGGTTGAGACAAAAACGAGTAAGATTCTGGTCTTCAATACGCCTTTTCACGCAACACGATCCAGAAAAACAAAGGTATTAGCTCAGAAGTGTTTGACAGGTGATTTTGAGCATGCAAGACGGCGTCTATAGCGCATTTAGGTCTTCGGCTTTTGGGGGGGGTCAAATGACCCTCTCAGACCTTTTGGGGGGGGTCATGACCCCGTGGACCCCCCCCAGGATCCGCCAGTGCACCTGACCTCAAGAATAACCAAACGATCTGAAATATTCAAATTGGGTAGCGTTAGCTTCCGCTTGTAGAGCAGCACCCACGTTTTTATCCGTTAAATTCTAGTCGAAATACGAGAAAAGTAAGGGTGTCCCCACCCTTACTTAGTAAGGGTGGGGGGGGGGGGGGGACTAAAAGGAGTTTTAATGTATTTGAAAAGAATTAAATATTTTTTCTTCAAAATAATGTAAGAAAAACATTATATTGCATGCTTTCAATATTGAACACCAACATGACCTGTCGCAGCTGCGACAAAAAATGACTGAATTGGTGATCAACTGCTGAAAATGCTGCGTACAAAGTTACACGAGAAACCAATTATATTTGAGAAGTGCCTTTGCTGACATTGCTAGCGATCCTCATATGTTGAAGGAAACGAATACACCTTTTTGCACCACCAATCGGCATCTGGTCACTTAACCCTCGCACTTATAGGAGGGGGGGGGGGTCGAACGGACCCCCCTCGGTTTTTCGCGAATAACTCGCGCAAAAAGCGGCCGATCGCGACGAAACTTTCAGTACCCTCGAGTTAATCAATTTTACACATACCCTGAAATTTTCATGATCCTGACCCAAATGACCTTTGACCTGTGACCTATTTCTCGAGACCATGTTTGGCCGGAATCGCGATTCGGCGTATGTCGGCTCGCATTATCCGCTCGTCTGCAGTCTTTTTGTGGTTTTAAACGTTCAAACATGTGAAATGATGTTGGACCCATGCATTAGGGTGGGTGTCAAGGTCACGTGAAGTTCGGGTCAGGTCATTGACCTTTGGTGACCTCGGTTCACTTTTTCGAGTTTTACATGTTTCTAGGGTGGTTTTTGGAGCTGATTTCGAATTTACCACCCATTTGAACATTTACGAAGTAGTTTTTGTGCCTTCGTAACATGTTACGAAGCTGTCAGTAGTGGTTGACACTATGGATAGCCAGCAGGACGCCTATTGGTTGACTTGACCTGACCTGACCCGACCTGGCCTAAATGCATGAAGAAATCATCTGTGATCAAAACTAACATGAAATTCGTGATCAGCACCCCGAAAAACCCCACGACGAGCTCAATTTACAAAGTTCTAACAGGTCCCGGTTTTCCCGACTTTTGGGCCATTGACCTGACCTGGAAGGTCAACCAATGACCTAGGACCTTAAAATTGGGTATCATCGGCTTCCTCTCGTTGCGGGCAACACGCTCGTTTTTTCCGCGAAGCTCTAGCTCCATCAGGGGCCGAACGGCAATGCCCCCCCCCCCCCCTATACGTTAGACGCTGGAAAAACACGAATACGGGCGAGGGTTAATTTCGGCACTTTGCATTCGATATCGGCAGGGTTACCTCCATTTAGACATAACGCACACATTTCGACGTATTTCATCAACTTTAAATAGCACCGGTTCATTTTCGATCTAATGCATTGGATTTCGACAGGGGCATTCGATTTCGACAACGGCCGTCTGTATACGGCAAGAGGCATTTGACTTTGACGTTTCGCAATTGATTCAGACAAAGGTTATTGTGCTCAAGGAAAGATCACATCAAAGGTCATTTGGATCAGACTCATGGCATCTTCAGCGAAGGTATAATATTGATAATCTCGAAGGTACCAAAGTTTCGTCGCAACCTGCTTCTTTTTACGCAAGTTATATGTGAAAAAGCGAGGGAGGCTCTGAAGGATCTCCCTCCCTCATATAAATGTGAGGGTTGAAGTTTGTTTTTGTAATTAGGGACAGGCCTCCGACGTACACCGACTTGGCGAAGGAGTATGCCCACGTTCAGTCAGTTCAGTGAAGTGGAACGACCGACCTAAGCGATGCTGCTCTTGTCTCAGAAAATGCAATTCGCTGCCAGCGTCAACTGGGATTCAATATACAGCCTATGTGGAATAAATGCAATGATTTAAGTCCGGCAGCATGCCACATGATGCTTTCTTATTAAAATATAAGCAATTTTCCCATAAACGAAGAGTACAGTTATTAGAGGACGGGCTGGTCTGATGTAATTCGAAGTTTATGCCGTCACCCGGGGAACTGTTCCAGCTAAGCATAGCTTGTTGCTGGACGAGTCCCCAGGTCACAGCATGTGGATGTGGCGAAAGTAATGTGTTTAACTTCTGATTAATTTTGTTTTGAGCAAAGTACAAAAGTGCCTTGAAAATAGCTCGTGTTTTTAAAGCAAATTGTTAATTTTACAGGTTACATGAGTCATGGGACGGTGCCGGTCCGTAACTATTTCCAAAATTTAGTTCGAATGTTTTGAATGGGTGGATTTCCGAGGCCAGAACCCACGCTAAGAGGCGCTTGTTGCGCAGGTCCTCGTCTCTACCGCCCGATCGGGAAAGCCCGGGCAAACGGCAGAATTTAGAGTCTAACACCCATCCAAAACATGAAGCATACTATTTTTCCTGACGGGGCACTTAATGTGTGAAAAAAACTGTGGGAGCATTTACAACATTGTGGGGCATACTTCAGCACTGTGGGTGCATGTCCCAACAAAACGATAGAAGGTTACGCCCCTGGACGTTGGTACAACCGTCCCTCCCCGTCGTCTACAAACGAAGCGCCGTAGCGCTTCGCAACAAAACCAGCACATTGCTCTTGGTGAGATCTCGAGGTGGGGCAAAACTTTTCACTTGACCTGCTTGTGACGACTCAAAGGACAAATTTCGGGAAAAGCGTCGTTTTTCAAATTTGTGCACCAATGCTAGCGTTTCTATGGCAGTTTTTTAATTTGTGCACGAATGCTAGCGTTTCCATAGTAGATAGCGACAAGCTACTTTCGCTAAACTACGCTCTGTAAGCGGACAATTGCTCTGTTGGACTACTAGCGCCGCCTCACGGATGTCAAGCGAACTAAGCCATTTATGTATGTTTTTACATGCATGGCGCAAGAGCAACTCGCTTCAGATTGGCCGCATTAAAGAAAATACGGTAGAGAGGTATCTAAAACCTAGTGAAGATTTCCTTGCATATAAATTTAAAGACCGTCGTTTGGCGGGTGATTAACGGGCTGAGCACTTACGGGCATGGCAAAAGTGGATATTTCAGACATTTGAGAAAGAACAAGAAGATTATTAAAAAAAGACAGTGTCATGGCGCAAAACTTTAGCACAATGGCGTTCGCATATCCCAATTTTGAATGTGTGCCTTTCAAAGGAAAAGCTCCGTCACTTTACACGTAAAACTAAATATCTTAGGCTCCAGACCAGTTGGTGATGACACTTAAAGTTATCTTAACAAATACTTTACCCGCGCCCCGCTGGGGTATTCGGCCGAACGCGCCCCGCTGGGGGGCGGGGGCAGATTCTGCCCCCTGCCTAACTTCCGAACGGAGGGTCGTAGAGAGACGGGGAAAGCGGCAAACGAAATGTCTCAAAGAGACCGATCTTAAGAGCACCAACAATTTCGCTTAAGTAGGTCACAAGACAGGTCAAGGTCAGGTCAAAGGTCAAAATTAGAAGATTTCACAGCATTGGCGTCTGAGCCCAGTTAGCGAAGAGGCGATTGACGGCGTTCACCCAGAACACATCCTTAAGGTAGGGAGACGATGTGCTTTACTTAAGGTGCCATGCAAAGTTCAAGGTCAAGATCAGGTCAGGTCACCAAAGGTCATCAAGAAGTACGGGATATATGCAACACATGTGTTATGGGTCATTTTGCCCATAGAATGCAATGGTGATACTCACTAAATGATTTGGATGACATTTGGATGAAGTTCAGGTCAAGGTCAGGTCAAATCAGGTCAAACTAGGTCAAATTTTGAAGTTGATCTTTTCAAACAAAATTGGTGTCTAACTGATTCAGTTTTTGATGACAAATCCAATGGTGGTATTTTTATTTTTGTAGATAGTCTAGAACTTCCAAAATTTGCAATCAAAAATTTTGTCATGTGTACTTTTGGCGTTTTTTTTGGCATTTCTGTGGCCAAAAACAGACGGATTGCTTCAAAATTTGACATGGGCATAGCAATTACTAGTCTTAATACCATATATTCCGGTTTTTTAAAATTCAAAAACTTTGTTTTTTGTAGGTTTTTCCAAAAATGTTTTTTGAAAATTTTGGGGTAAAAAACTAAAATTTCGAAAATCGCGGGCGGCTTCCGTGCGGATTCAGCCGGCAACCGAATCTAACCATAGCGATATGTGGTGGCCGGTGCACACACTGATAATTAATTATTAGACCGATTGTACGCTAACAAACTCGTGTCTCATCAATCAGTACAACTTTACTCACCAATGTCGCACGCTGAGGCCTAGAACTGACGAACTCATCCATCATCGATTCGTCCACAGACCTGCAAACCAGAATCATCTTGCTCAAAAATCGTCAAAAAAAAAAATCAGGATAAGACTCACAGGGCAAATGAAATTCAGTCCGGTCAATGACTTCATATAAAAACAGAGAAAATACTGCTTGCTTTGGACTTAACCCGGCATTGGCTGGGGTTACACACAGCCAAAGCATTTATTTCACTCACACTGTATCGTCCAATCCAAAATCATGATCTGATGGGCGGCTCGCCGGGTGGACCTCAGCTGACGGCCTGCTGAGCCCTGCGAAACAAAATATTACATTTAAACAAACATTATATTCAAATAATTTGCATTTTCATTCCAAGCATCAGGCAAAAATCTTCATACATCATATTCCATATTACGTGGAACAACATAACACTCGCTACCCGCCACTATGTTGAAAAAGTGGAATAAACGTAAGATTTGTAATTCTTATTCACGTACTGGTTCTGGTTCGGTGACATCCCAGTGGAGGTGTACGAACATCTTCGTCCACGCTCGCGTCACGGGTCGGCAGCTCTGAAGTACTGAAACCAGGCCACTTAGGGCACAGGGCGGCGGCGGCGCGCGGCGCGTCCGTGCCTGTCAACATGCCACGCGTGATAAGGTTAGCACACATACATGTAAGCACGTCACTGAGCACACCTATAGGGGACACTTGGGCAATTGTCAGAAAGCTCCAATTAGAGCCCGGTTGCCATTGAACCAGTCACCCGTCGAAATGGGCCCGTCGCCGTTGACGGGCCCGTTTTGAAGACATGGGAATATTCATGTTTCGGTGCGGGACGGGCCCGTTTTTCACATCGCTGCCTCCGTGCCTATTTGGTTTAAAGCGTAAGTAAGGTTCAAACGAAGCTGGAGATGGCTGTAAAACATGTAAAAATGATTATTGAAATAATATAGCATGGAATTTCATGTACTCATAGGGGAAATTGTCATTCATTTCCTCTGTAAAAGGACTGCATTGGTTCCCATGGACATTTCACTACTAGAGGCCGGCAGCGCTAATGCCTTGCCTTGGACCAGCATTGGAGGCTTTCTTTTGTTTGATGTCCAAAAGTCAGAGGACCCAGAAGTATACCGCTTATGGAAAGATATCCAGGGTGGAGCAGAAAGATTTACTTGTTTCTTTTCAGTCAATAACTCAAAAAAGTTACAAACGGATTTTAATTTAAAAAAAAAATTATATGCGGCTTCCTAACTGACTCGTGTAACAACATTAAAATTGTTTTTACATTTTGTCATAGTTGTTGAAGAGCTGTGGCGAGAATTCCAAAGACAGTCCCAATTCCGGCGTTGACGCATGCTGGCCACAGCTCCCGAAGCGTTGCCATACAGCTCGGGGTGGCCGTAAAACTGCTTAGTGTAATTAAATGACTTAAAAAGACAGGGTCAGTGTCGACTTAGTCCATCCCAGGCAGGGCAAGGGATATACGATTCGAGTATATCCCTTGTACCTAATATGTAAAGTTACATAATATGTTCTTGTTTTTCAGAAAGGATGTGTAGGCTACCGGCCAAAGAAGAGAAAGGTAGAGGTAAGCAATAATGAATTTTATTGATGGAGTTTAATTCTTGCTCGAGAAACATTGTGATAGTTATTTGAAAATATACGAGCATGACCTTTCCTCGATATTAAAGTGTTGAAAAATGTACTTTATTGCTAGAAAATATGTGATATGTCGGCCACTGGCCTTTGTTGAACATAAATAATAAAGTAGTTATCTTGATTATATATGTTTGACAAAGACCAGTGGTAGAAAAATCACATTTTCTAGCAATACAGTATATTTTTCGACACTTGTTTTGTTCAATATTGGGGAAAGGTCATGCTTGAATCAGATATAATTAGGTGCACAGATAAATCCGTGCACCGTGTTGACATTTAAATACAAATTAAATGTGCACAGATAAATCCGTGCACAAGACAAGACGGGGATGAGACCGCAGAGGATCGGTTCACTGGCACTGCGTGATCTGAAATAGCGGTAAGAAGCTTACTGAAATGACTTAATTCGGCTGCTTTTTCATCCTAGCCCCAGTGTGCCACACTCTGGTGTGTTGCGCATTGAAATTTGGCGTCACCGACCGTTCCGGGCGGTGGCAGACGCGGACCCCCGCACAGGCTCTAGTCACAAGTTCTATCAGGTCCATGACGGCCTGGCGCCGGGTCGAAACCGAGACCTAACGAGCCGAGGTCGTACCACTTACCAGGACAAGCCAAGCCGAGCCGAGTCCCAGTCGAGCCCGAGCCCAGCCAACCTCGAGCGATCCCTGAGCCGATTCGAGGTCGACAAACCCGAGTAGTCCCAAGCCCTTGCAAAGCTCGAGCAAGTCCAGAACTGAGCCCCGATCATAGAGGCAAGCCGAGCTTTGAGCCAATTATTTTAGGCCGCTATTATTTCTTTACTCTAGTCTCTAGATCTTTCCAATTCTAAAATTCTAAATTCTAATTCTAAAAATAGAACGGTTCGCGCAGTCTAGACCATAGTTCCCTGCAGAATACAAGTCGTTAAGAGTCAAAAAGCCAGTTTTACCCAGTGCACAGGTGGGACATCTTCCAATTTAGCCTGAATTATTTGGAAAAAATTCTTTTCGATTTTTTAAGAAAAAAAAATTGGCGGATGTGCATATAAAAACATGTCTTAAGTTCTCAGATATGGTAACCAAATCCATATTCTAGGAGCGAAAATTGTCAGAAATGATGTACAAGGGTGACGCATTGGTGAAACAGACAGTCGTACTGCGCACACGTCCGAGTTGACATCTTAATTTGTCTATCGAACCCAAATGAGGCGAGTTATAGTCAAATGCTTTTCATTCCCGGTGTGACTGATCCCAAGGCCTCCGTTATGAAAAGGCACACTTTTTGGAATTTTCATATGCTTGAAAGTTTTGGAATTATGGATAGGCATTCTTACCTTGATCCATGGGCCTGGCGACCGATCGGGAGGAACCAGGCTGAGCGGAGGCCGGCGGAGCAGCGCAATCCGTCTGAGCGGAGGCCGGCGAGACGGCGCCATCCGGCTGAGCGGAGGCCGGCGAGACGGCGCCATCCGGCTGAGCGGAGGCCGGCGAGACGGCGCCATCCGGCTGAGCGGAGGCCGGCGAGACGGCGCCATCCGGCTGAGCGGAGGCCGGCGAGACGGCGCCATCCGGCTGAGCGGAGGCCGGCGAGACGGCGCCATCCGGCTGAGCGGAGGCCGGCGAGACGGCGCTATCCGGCTGAGCGGAGGCCGGCGGGGTGGCGCCATCCAGCAGAGAGTCGCCTGGCGCACAAAAAAGATGGTTATGCATTGAAAAACTTAGTTAAATGTGCTTAATAATCATTAAACATCGTGCCTTTAAGCCGCCTCAAACTGAGTGTTGCAGGCGGTTGCCAGTCTGCCGGTGTGCATTTCTTGCACGAGCGGTCGCATATTTAGCTTTTGGGTGGGGTCAAAACCGCGAAAAAGCGCATGTCAGGGTATCCCGACCAAGAAGTATTAAAACTATAAGAGCTTGTCAAGAGTCTTTTTTTAAAATATTTGGGACAGCCTTTAAACATGGTTATAAGTTCGTCATAAACATATAGCAAAAGCATAGTTCAGAGAAAAACGGCCCCACCCCTCTCGTTTCCCAGTCAGCAAACCGCTCTGCTTGTGGAAATATGGCCGTGGAAAAAAATACAGCCACTGTATGCCTTTAATGACTACAATGACACTCCCTTGAGGGTCACTCACTCACCCCGTTCCACCGCCCTGGTGACTGATGGGGAGGCCGGCGGGGCAGCGCCATCCGGCTGAGCGGAGGCCGGCGAGACGGCGCCATCCGGCTGAGCGGAGGCCGGCGAGACGGCGCCATCCGGCTGAGCGGAGGCCGGCGAGACGGCGCCATCCGGCTGAGCGGAGGCCGGCGAGACGGCGCCATCCGGCTGAGCGGAGGCCGGCGAGACGGCGCCATCCGGCTGAGCGGAGGCCGGCGAGACGGCGCCATCCGGCTGAGCGGAGGCCAGCGAGACGGCGCCATCCGGCTGAGCGGAGGCCGGCGGGGCGGCGCCATCCAGCTGAGCGGAGGCCGGCGGGGTGGCGCCATCCAGCAGAGAGTCGCCTGGCGCACAAAAAAGACGGTTATGCATTGAAAAACTTAGTTAAATGTGCTTAATAATCATTAAACATCGTGCCTTTAAGCCGCCTCAAACTGAGTGTTGCAGGCGGTTGCGAGTCTGCCGGTGTGCATTTCTTGCACGAGCGGTCGCATGTTTAGCTTTTGGGTGGGGTCAAAACCGCGAAAAAGCGCATGTCAGGGTATCCCGACCAAGAAGTATTAAAACTATTAGAGCTTGTCAAGAGTCTTTTTTTTAAATATTTGGGACAGCCTTTAAACATGGTTATAAGTTCGTCATAAACATATAGCAAAAGCATAGTTCAGAGAAAAACGGCCCCCACCCCTCTCGTTTCCCAGTCAGCAAACCGCTCTGCTTGTGGAAATATGGCCGTGGAAAAAATACAGCCACTGTATGCCTTTAATGACTACAATGACACTCCCTTTGAGTAGTGTCACTCACTCACCCCGTTCCACCGCCCTGGTGACTGATGGGGAGGCCGGCGGGGCAGCGCCATCCGGCTGAGCGGAGGCCGGCGAGACGGCGCCATCCGGCTGAGCGGAGGCCGGCGAGACGGCGCCATCCGGCTGAGCAGAGGCCGGCGACACGGCGCCATCCGGCTGAGCGGAGGCCGGCGAGACGGCGCCATCCGGCTGAGCGGAGGCCGGCGAGACGGCGCCATCCGGCTGAGCGGAGGCCGGCGAGACGGCGCCATCCGGCTGAGCGGAGGCCGGCGAGACGGCGCCATCCGGCTGAGCGGAGGCCGGCGAGACGGCGCCATCCGGCTGAGCGGAGGCCGGCGAGACGGCGCTATCCGGCTGAGCGGAGGCCGGCGAGACGGCGCCATCCGGCTGAGCGGAGGCCGGCGAGACGGCGCCATCCGGCTGAGCGGAGGCCGGCGAGACGGCGCTATCCGGCTGAGCGGAGGCCGGCGAGACGGCGCCATCCGGCTGAGCGGAGGCCGGCGAGACGGCGCCATCCGGCTGAGCGGAGGCCGGCGGGGCGGTGCCGTCCGGCAGGACGCCATCTGGCGTAAAAGATGGTGTTAGCATGACGTAAGTGATACTGTTTGTTATCGTAGCTTAAAATACATAAGAATGTAAACACAATGCTTGTTTAAAAGTATAGGTAGGTCATACGTACACAACGCATATTCAAATATATATATATTTTTTTTTTGAAACATTGGAAAGAAATATCCCTGATACCTATTGCTGTGAGCCACAAGGGTAGGTATACATATAACGTATCGAAAATAATTAAAAACATTTTTGAAAATTTGTTACAAAATACAAGGAATGGTTAAAGAAAAGCGGAAATGCTCAAATCACGCGAACTTTACCGGAGGGTAGCCAGAAGTTCTGATCATTGCATAGAAGTAGTTGAGCTGCGTTCATATACAGCAATACAGCAATGCACACTTACCCCTAAGGAAGGACGCTACCAGGGTAGGGTCAAAGTTTCGTTCGGGCTCCCATGTCTGTTCGCTGTAAAGGAAAGGATAATGATAATGAGGATTTAGGTTTAGGATTTGGTGGGAGACCATGGAGATGACAAAGTGGGCATGGCGAAAAATAATGAAGACAAACATGAAAAACGTGTACGAGTAGGTTAACAACAGGCTTCAGGACAACGATTGGAAAAGAAATGCATTGAAACAAACCACCAAGAAAGGAGGGAGTGGGGGGCTGGGTAATCAGAAACCAAGCTATACAAAATTTGAACGTTTTCATTATAACCGGCGAAGGAAAAAGAAAACGAAACAGGTTAGAACCAGGTGAAGAAGCATTCTAGGATAAATGAGTTACAAAGAAACAGTGTCAATGAACTGATAGAGATATTCTCAACTACTAGTAGTTAATTGTTCGTTGGTATGCATTTTCGACTTTCGCATCGAAGTTGTTATCAATAATAAAATTAGAACCAACCAATAATAAACGACTAACCGAGAATATAGAGTACGCAGCCGAGATTATATCTTATCAGAACTATCTCTAGTTGTAATAGCCTTAAACATTTAGTGTCAATGAAGTACGCTTGGGGGCAAATGGTGGTTGTATCTGTGAATGGAAGTGGTTGAGAGTGCCCGGCTGCGCAGTGCGCACTCTCGCCGACATCAATGATTAGAAATCGCGTCTGAATCTCTTGTCTAGGGGTTCTGAGGGTCTCGTGTCCTCAATATTCGATATCAGAGGGCCGGCCGAGGCCAATGTCATCACGGGAAGTTGGGGACCTCAGTTCAACCATATATATCCCTGTCTGTTAATTATTGTGTGAGTCAGGTAACCGTGACGGTGTGAATTGCTTTACACGGTGTTTTGGTGATGTGATTGATGTTCTTGACTGGATCGTGAAAGCAAGTAATTGAAACTTTATAACAGATATGCACACTCTAACACATAGTAACGTGCATAAAATAAAAGCCATTTCGTGAAGTAAGTACCTACTGAAAAAGCAAGGCTGCTAACAGCTGGTTGGAGAAGACGATCAGCTTCAAACGGCGAAACATGCAAACAGAAAACTACGAAAAAATAAGGATGCTTCTTTGATTAGTTTTACAACTTACGTGTAGCCTTGCCATTTGATGAGGTACTGTCTTCGTCCCCTGTCATATGCTAGGATATTTTCAACGATATAAAACTCCTGAAAAGGAAACAAAACAATAATCAATTGTTTTCCTCTCTATATAGCTTGTTCCGCTTTTCTATCAATGTGTACAGCAAATCGCGATATTCAACAAAAACTTTTTCAAAAACTTAGGTACTGCTTACGTTTGATAGCGAATGCTACAATTTTGACCCGAGCCGAACAACGGCAAGATACACAGATTGTAAGATAATTATTTTTGATGAGCTTCCGCAAGCAGGGGCGTCGCCACTGGGGGTCCCTGAGATCATAAATCCCCCACATCTCTTAAAACCACGGGGGTTGACCCCTCACTTTTGGGTGCCGAAATCGAAATAACATTAAATCAATATTTTCAATCTTATTTTGCTGGCCGCTAAAAAGAGTGGCCGAAATCCAGGGATTTTTTCAGTTTTTGGTAGGGGAATTCTGACTGACAGTCCAATCCGGCACTCGAAAATCGAAAATCACAGTCGAAAATCCGCGGCGACGTCGTTGTCCGAAAGCTTGTTTGTGTTGTTCTCTATGACTAATAGAAGCCGAGATAGAAGGGGTGTTCAAACTCTCACCCCAAACAGGCGCGACGCCAACGGGGGGTCGCCGGGGTCGTGGCCCCGCGCTTCTGAAAAACGCGGGTTGACCCCTACTTTTGGGAACCGAATATGAAATAAAAAAATGAAATATAATATTACAAACTTTGTTTTGTTGTAGGTAGGTACGCTAAAAAATAGTGACCGAAATCCGGCAACTTTTCAATTTTTGGTATGTGTTATTTTGACTGACCCGACCACCCATGCCAACCCATCCATCCCCCGCCGAAAATCCATGGCGACGCCGCTGAACACACACTACCAGTAGGAAGATGATGCAAAAGCTGGAGTGACTTTTAGATGATGTTTTAACAACCAACTAGGAACAGCAAGCACGGTAAAAAAAAAAACAGTAAAAAATCTTATTGAGAAACGCTTACCTGGAACGTCTGGTGTCTGGCGATCCGCTTTCGCGGGCGCGTAAAAAAAAACCTTTTACGCTTCATAGCTCTGAAACATGTGCAGAAATGGTGCAACAAAGCTTGGTATAGTATGGCATACAATGGCCGGCGACTGACCAGCGAATGTTGTCCAGCGCGATCCGCCACATGTCACTGGTGTGGACATACTGAATATATACAACGTGCCTGTCACCGGCACCGAACGCACGTACAGTTCCCAACCGCAGCAGCCTGCGCGGCGATGCACCAGATTAGAGTGCACCGCCCAAAACGGACATAATGTTTGGAAATGATGAAAAGGAAAGATACAAACTCCGGGAAAGTAAAATACAATGTCTCGGAAATGTCAGGGAAAGTAAAATACAATGACATCTGCTGCCCGCGCGCCAGCAGCTCACGCGTCAGCTCGTCCGTGGCGGCAGCGGCCGGGATCCGGCGC